GTGGGGGTGGTGTGTGTGTCCCAGGCTGTTCCAGCATCTCCCCCGGCCTCCCTCTGCAGATCAACGTGCTCTACAACCGCATCAGCCACGCCCAGAAGTTGTAAGTGTGACCCGGCCGGAGCCCCATGCCCTCCCTCTCACTCTCGGGGTCCCTCCTTCCTTCCCCATTCCCCTCGCTCCCCCTTGGTGTCTGTCCCTTTCTCAGTCTTTGTCCCTCATTCCCTGTCATCTCTTTCTGCCCTCTGCCTCCCTTCTCGGGTCTCAATCACCACTTCCGTGTCCCTCTAAGTCACCGATTCTCAAGGATGGGGGGCGATGTTGCCCCCCACAGGGGACATTGGGCAAAGTCTGGAACTTTTGTGGTTGTCACAACTGCATGGGAACTGACATCTAGTGGGCGGTGACATCCAGGGGTGCTGCTCAATACCCTACAGTGCCCAGGACAGCACCCCAGAGCAGAGACCCAGACCCAAATGCCAGCAGTGCCAGACCCCCCGGGAATCATAATTGTGACTCACACCAGCACCCCTGTGAACACCTCCACTCAGCGCAGATGCCCACCGCACATGGCACTGGGGTCTTTCATCATGAACCACCCACCCCAGCCAGTGAACTCCAATGACAACTCCAATCTGCACGCCTCTCCCTCTGGGTCCGGAGGGCGGGTATTTTGGGGGGCCCTATCTCAGAGGTCCAGGAAGCCATCCCTCCTGATACCCCCTTTTTCTCCCACAGCCGGAAGGGGGCAGGGAAGGGCCGCCTTGGAGGCCGCTGGAAGTGAGAACGGGGTGGTGGGGCACCCCGACGCACCAGGAGCCCTTGGAGCACTTGTCCCACCTGTCTCTTGAAATAAATGCTCTGCCTGTGGGCACCTGCTGAGGTTGTTACTATTATTGTTAACTTGCTGCCAGTCTCTCACAGTTAATTAGGTTAACTCACCAGGTCTGGAGAATCCTCATATTATCACAACAGTATGTAAAGTTAAACCCTCACAAGGGCTGGTGGGAAGGTAAAATGGGCGGCGCTTTGGAAAACAATCGGGCGGTTCCTTAAAACGTTAAACACAGTTACTGGCCCAGCAATTCCACTCCTAGGCACCTGCCCNCGCTTTGGAAAACAATCAGGCGGTTCCTTAAAATGTTAAACACAGTTACTGGCCCAGCAATTCCACTCCTAGGCACCTGCCCAAGAGAACTGAAAGCGTAGGTCCGCACGAGAACTTGCACACCAATGTGGCGGCTGCGTTATTCACAGTAGCCAAAAGGTGGGGACAACCCAAGGGCCCATCACTGATGAATGGCTACAGCGGAATATTATTCAGCCATGAAAAGGAACAAAGTATTGCCACCTGCTACAACGTGGGTGAACCTCGGAAACATGATGCTCGGTGAAAGAAGCTAGACGCAAAAGGTCACATAATGAATGATTCCATTTACATGGAATTTCCAGAAGGCAAATTCCTANAGTGAAAGAAGCTAGATGCAAAAGGTCACATAATGAATGATTCCATTTACATGGAATTTCCAGAAAGCAAATTCCTAAAGGCAGAAGGTTAGGTTAGTGCTTTCCAGGGACTGGGACAGGGTGGGGGAAGGGATAGGGAGGAGAGGGCTAAAGGGATTAGCATTTCTTTTGTGTGTGTGTGTGTGTGTGTGTGTAAAAATGTTCTGGAATTAACGGTAGTTACACGAACTTGTGGATATAGTAAAGAACCACTGAATTGGACACTTTGAAATGTTTTCGGTATATGCATTATATCTGATTTTATTTTATTTATTTTTAAAAATATATCTTTATTGATTTCAGAGAGAGGGAGAGAAACATCAATGATGAGAGTCATTGATCGGCTGCCTCCTGCATGTCCCCCAACTGGGGATAGAGCCCACAACCTCAGGTATATGCCCTGACGGGGAATCGAACCACGATCTCCTGGATCCTAGGTTAATGCTCAACTGCTGAGCCCTGCCTGGCATCTGATTTTAGGAATGCAAAACCAGGCCCTGGCCCGGTAGTTCAGTTGGTTGGAGCATTGTCCCAATAGGCCAAGGTTGCAGATTGAGCCCTGGTCAGGTCACATACAAGAAACCACCAATGAATGCACAGATAACTGGAACAACAAATCAATGAGGTTCATGGGAAGTGTGGGCTTGAGGACTACATATCCCAAGAGCCACCAGGACTGCTATTCCCTTTGTGTCTATGGCCAGTGCTCCCAGGGCCTCGTGGGACTTGTAGTTTATTTCTTTGCACAGGCTGCGCCCCCCTCCCCCCCCCAGGACTTTGGAGAGGGCGGATTCTGTTGCTTCTGTCCAGATTTGAGCCCCTTTCTGTAAGACTTTTATGGGTCTTTATCCCGGTCTCAAAGTGCCTGCATCTCTCTCAACTTGGATTTTGGAGCAGGATACTTAAGCTGAGGATTGTTTCCTGCTTCAAGGTGCTAGGTCTGAGACCTCACCCTCCAAATCTATTCGCCTGCCTCGCTGGGGAGGACATACAAATCCCAGCATGCCTTGCGAGCATGTAGGGGCTGGACTACATTTCCCAGCCTGCTCCACGACTGTAGGTGAGACCAAGAAAAGGACGGGCCAGTAGGTTATGGGGGCGCTCATTGTGGACCCCTCCTCACGGGATTCTTTCCGACGTGATCCAGGAGTTATCCTCATGGACTTTGGAGTTCTCTTGCCATTGAGCCTGACTTCTTGGGGTGCATTGGGGATCTGCCTAGGGTCAAGTGACCCTTTAGGGGCGTGGCCCTGCGAACTACATTTCCCAGCACACCCCTAGGCTGTTGGCCAATTGCCGTGAACTTTGTACAGCAAACTTAATTTCCCAGCATGCCCTTGTGGGCCACCCAGGAAGGCTTGGACGAGAATTGTCTTGAGAATTTAGGGGTTGCGGACTCAATTTCCCATGGTGCCCTCGTGTTTTTGACGACTTAGGGAATCCCCTTTCATTCATTCATTCAAACACTATTTTCCATCGCGTATTATTAGGCTCCTTTCTAGGCTCTGGGAACGAGAAGTGAAGGCAGAAGACAAATTCGCTGTTCTCCTGCAGCTTATTTCTGGTTGAAGGGAGCAGACAGCCCATAATACATAAATTAGATGGTACAAGGAAAGCTGATAAGGTGTGTGGAAAAATTAGTGCTTTATCTTTTAGGCTTCCGGGCTGTAGAGTCCCTTTCCTACCAGGTCCCGTCCCTGTGGTAGTCAACTACGTTTCCCAGCATGCCCTGGGGCACACCTCTGGCCTACGGACTCCATTTCCCAGCGTTCCCCTGAGCATTCCCTCCATCAGATTTCCGTTTGCCTTCCCAGGGTACCTGGGGGCAGATGAAAGCTGGAATGTTGCCATTAGCAACTTCCTGTCGATAGAGACTCCATTTCCCAGCGCTCCCCGCGGTTCTCCTCCGTCCGCGGACTGCATTTCCCAGCGAGCCCCGGGACGGCGTGGTGACGTCGCGCGCCGGGCGGGGCCGGCGG